GAACTTATCACTCTAGCTAGGAAATCAGAATGTCAAAACAACCACGTTTTTCGGTGCTTATACATGTTTCTTCTTTTAAGTTACTGAGAAATATTGTACGTAGGTGAAGCAAAGAACTTAGCATTCGGCCCTCATTAATTATTCGTACTTTTTCATTTGAAATTTATTACTATTAATAAAAGTTCACTCACAATTAATACTTGGGGTGAAAGTAGCTTTAAAGAGAAAGAAAAATAACTTAGTAAATGTCAGTTTTATAATTGTGCATTAACAACTTTAGCATTTGTGGAAAGAAACTGCTATATGTACATGTGTGTTTACGTCTTCTCTTGCTATAACGAATATACTCCCTCCGATCCATAATAAGTGACTAATTTGTTTTTTTTATTTTGGTCCAAAATAAGTGTCCATTTATATAATCAAGAAAAAATTTAATATGTTTTTCCAAAATTACCTTTATGTATGTATGCCTAAAAAGTCATTTACTCTTCACATTTGAGAAGAGAAGTAAGTACTACTATAACTATGGTGCAACATTTAATGAAGGGTAGTTTAGTCACACTAACTATTTTCATCTAAAATTTAGTATTTCCTTAATGAATGTGCCCAAAGCAAATTGGTCACTTATTGTGGAGCGGAGAAAGTAGCATAATAGCATCTGATATACATAAAGGACCTTATACAAAAAAAATTATATGTTATAGCTAAATAATGCACCCTATTTATTATAAATCAAAACACTTTAAAAATATTATTATTTATAGTAACTTTTTATATTTTATATCAAAGTACAAATATAATGTTATAAAACAATAAAAGAAGAAGAAGAACATTGCAGAGAAAAGTAGAGAGAGAATTCTTATTGATTTGGGATGGATTACAATGGAATAGAACCCCTCTATTTATAGGGGAAAAATGACTTAGCCACCAAGTAACAAACCCTAAAAATCTCTCTAAAATATAGACATTCACCTTAAATAGAATTCTATTTATAACACTCCCCCTTGAATGTCTATTCATCAGATAATGTGCCTCGTTAAAACCTTAACTAAAATAAAACCCAGTGGGAAAAAATTTTAGTGAAGGAAAAAGAGTACACATATCTAACAATACGCCTTTTGGTTGCCTCGTTAAAAACCTTGCAAGGAAAATCCAATGGGACAAAACCTTGTAAGAGAAAAAGAGTGCAACGCGCATTAACTCCCCCTGATGAGAGCATCAATTCACATCCTTGAGCATTTGCATTCCAATCTTGTGCACCATTTTCAAAAGATCTTTGGTAGAGATTTGATAAACAAATCAGTCATATTAACTTGAACAAATTTATTTCACCTTGAAATCATCATCCCTAATATATGTATTGTCTTCATATGATCTTGTTGGAATTGTCAGTTCAATATCTTCACATAGAGGTGAAAACTCTTGCTATCATATTATCATGCCCATATTTATAGCAAGATACATTTGTGCACAAATTGCACTGAGGAAGTGCTACTTCAAGATCAAGAACTGTATATGCTTCAAACAACTTAAATTCTTCATGAATTGTCATATAAGTTAAGTCATGTAAGCCATATAATAGACTTTAGATGCATATCAAGTTTTTATGTCATGCTGGACATATAAGATAGATAAAGGGATTGCACACATCATTGACTTTATACTTTCAAGTATTTGAACAACATAGACAAAATTATATGTCTTTCATATGAAACCAATTTTATTAGAATTATGTCTCTTCCATTTGGCCAATATTTTTGTGTCTGTAGGCGACAGACTTAAGATCCTCATCTATATTTAGCGCTATCATAGATGTCATCGACGAACATTTTATATTGATTCCAATATTTTTTTCACAAAGACATAACATAGAGATCTCTTCATTCATATATTCAGGTACCTGAACCTCTCTTGAGATTTTATGAAGTATTATGTCATGTGATCTTCTAGATCATTTGCCTCCTTTATATTATCATTTGCTCATCTTCTTTATCAAAAAGTTATTTGAAATCGATCTGTCTATACGCTTTAAGCGTACCATAGACTTTGTCCTTCTAGGACTTATTCTAATAGGAGAATTTGCAGTGAGAATATAATTACTTTCTTTGGGTCAGCAAATGTGTCTGACATGCTTTGCAATATATTGCACATGAATTATCTTTTATGAACTTCAAGTTCATATTATTTTATTCGAGAATCTAGATATACAAATGATAATTCATTTCACGTAACTTTTTCTCAACTGTTTATCATGTCTCCCCCTCATGTTAGAAAAACTAACCCGTTTCCTCAACTTTGAGAACCGATCTTTGTGCGTTATGGTGTTAATCAAGATGTACTCCACATATCAATAATAACAAGATGAAATTATTTGGTTCCTGACCCTGAACCATTTGTCAGGGAAAAATATAATATACTTTCGTATATAACCTATATCAAACTGGTATAGATAACTTTGTTCTCATAAGCAATAGTTTAGCTATTAAGTGGAGGCACTCAATAATTATTTTGCTAAACTAACTTTGATGTAAACCAACTTATCAAGATAAACTTTCTTAAGTAAAAGATCTGGAAATTATGCTCTAAATTAAATTTTTGAGCAAGTTACCTCGCAAACATCATGTTGCGGGTTAATAATAATCGCGCATATAACCATCTCATAGATGCATCTTATGTGGTATACATGGAAGGTGAATGAGTACATATTCACCTTTGATATTTTCAGTATTCATGGGATTGAATCCCAATTTTAATTGGTCTATTAATTAATAAGAACAAACAACATAAGAGAATTCGTAACGAACTTTCTAGTTCTTTAATATTTACCCATGTGAATTCTCCTTTATTTTTGCACATCATACTTAAATTAACATGGCTAAACCAATTATGCCAACTGAATAAATTATCAATATAGATAAACTTCAGGTTTACACCATGGCGTGTGCAATTATCAATAAACTCTAAGTTTATTATGATATGGGTTTTTATATCAATAAATATCCACTTTATTGTAGTATTCTTTTATTTGTGTAGTACAAACTGGAGAATAAAGCGGACAGCTTTTCACATACATATTATCCCGCTACAAGTTGTAGTAATAGAAGATATTAAATCTTTCCTTTATTTATAGTCTTAGTATGACCAACCGCTTTCGCAAATACTTTAGAAACTCAATTAAGTTTCTTTGAGACTTACTACAATACAATGACTTATTGATAATCAATTTTATTCCTCCAAAACAGTAATAATTGGCTCTTCCAAAGCTCTCAATTAATTTAGTACTACCACATATTCATCAATATCCATATGGTGAATATCTCTTTTAAAGAGAAAGTTATACCATTATGGTTATGGTCAAAATTATATGTAAGATATGTTTCTTGCATTAATGTTATTCTTTAATAATCACATTACCAAAATATTTTGGCGTGCAATAGGTACGTGACCAATGACCATTCATGCCATAATAATGACATTATTTTCTTATATCATCTCAAATCTCCTTCTAGAGGTGAGTGTGGTATATTCACTACCACTAGCACGTTCATATTCTTCCAAGAATGAATATGTATTAATAAATCAGATATTGTCACATTCACATCATAAATGGACCATAATCATCTATATGTGCTTTATAAAATATCATGTCAAATCGATGACAAATATTACTTTCATAGAGTGAAGGATTGTTTTGAGAATCCTTATTATTCTCATTATCACAATGATGACGATTATGATTTCGTCTATTGCCACGTCCACATCCATTGATACCTTCACGGTAATGATTTTGTCTTCTTCCAGACTTATCACATATTGTTATCACATTCTCTTAAGGGAATGAGAATGAAGCAAATTCAATGGGACGAATTTTCACTTCTTGTGTTCACGATCATACATGACTTTGATCATGACAACCTATATAAATTTTATCACTTCGAGTGGTTATAATTTCTTACTAACTCCATTAGAATTATAATCAAAATTTATTGTCTTTGCTTGTATTTAAAATCAAATTATAGAATAAAAGAGAAAAATACGGTAAAATACTTACCTTAAATCCAGAATTTAATCATGAAGGAAGTTCATGGAACAATTGACAATCATTATGCTCAATCTCAAAGCTTCTACTCAATTGTTTAGAGTCTCGTGCTGATAACGTGTTATAAAACAATAAAAAAAAGAGCATTGCAGAGAAAAGTAGAGAGATAATTCTTATTAATTTGGGATGTATTACAATGGAATAGAATCCCTCTATTTATAGGAAAAAAATGACTTAGCCACCAAGTAACAAACCCTAAAAATCTCTCTAAAATATAGACATTCACCTTGAATAAAATTATATTTATAACATAAGAGTATAACAATTAATCCCTCAACTTTTTCCTCCACTCATTCTTTTTTTCCGTATTTCCTTCTTCTCCATCATTTCTCCAGATCTGGACTAGTTTTTTAACCACGCAATGGACTTTTTCTGTACGGACGATGAAGCAATAGTTAAGGCTGACTTACCTCCTATTTGTTCTTTATCAACATCTCCTCTTAATAGGGTAAATAGAAAAGGCTTCCATTGGTCTTTATCTTCAGTGGAGAAAGATTTGACTACTAGCAATGAGGCGGAGATTACGCCAATGGTCACCGTAAGAAGCTGCCCAATTATATACGGAGTATTTCTTATACCAATGAAGATCAATTGCTCACTGCCTTCGATAATGAAACCCACCGAAAAACTCGAGTTCCAGATCGGCTTCGTCATTACCTCCACCACCGCCATCATCTCTGGCCGGAATCCACGGTCAACCAACCCCCCCCCAGTGTATTTTCTTAGATCTGAGTGTATTTCTGCGATTTAAGTATTTGACCAAAAGATATTAAAACCGTTTTAATTAAATCAATTAATGAATATGAATAGGTAAATTTCAGCGAAGTATAATAAAATCTAGATTAAATGATGCAAGAGAGAAATAAGGTGAATGATGCTTTCTAGGCTGTCGGAACCAAATGATTACTCATAAATGTGATAACTTCAAATGTAGAAAAATATTGCAATGAATGCGATTGGGCAAGATAAAAGATGATGTATGGATTTGTAGTAAGCAAAGTTGTCTTTTTTGCATTCACTTCCCTCTCCCCCTCTTTACAAAGTGTTCTGCCTCCTTTTATAAGAAACAATCCCCTTTTAAACCCTAAAAAGTTATAACATAAAGAATATTTGAAAAGCATATTCCTACTGTCTCCTACTACGCTTACACTACTGCAAACATCGTACGTCCGCTTACCATTGTCGGTCATCACCCTTTATAACGACCAAAGGACGTTACATCATAAGGACCTCGTTCCTCGTCATACACCGTAGTGGTCGTGGTCGTCCAAATTTGGACCTATACACTAAGTATATTTTATTTCTTGTATTTCTCGTATCTAGCCGGATTTGAGTGTATTCATTATTTTGGAGTGTAAATACAATATATGTTTTTGTATTTTTGCATATATTTCTGTATTTCGAAGGAGACTTTTTGTATTTTCACTTGTATTTTTTTTAAAATTTTTGTTGCTTGAATACAAGCGAATCGAACACAATAAATTGAATACAGTGTAAAAATAGCTACAAATGAATATAGTGAATTGGATACAACCAAATACCGTTGTAATTTTTTTAATTTTTTTTTTTGGTAACTAACTTCTTTTTATTAATCACCAAATAGTAATTACATAACAAAGCAAAGCTAACACAGCTTGTTAATCTTTTGTTTACTCCTTATACTAATCTTACTAGAAACATAATCTATACGCATAATGTTTGTTCCTAGGAGTGACTCTAGCACTAACTATATATGCTATATCTTTTTAAATTTGCTCCACATTTTTGCTCTTCTTCTCGAATACTCTTCTATTTCTTTCAAGTCATATATGATAAACAGCTTCTGCATACATTATTCTGAATATCATCACATAAGCAGACTTCCCTTTTGCTTCAGTTATGGCCCATTGAAGAAACTGCTGCCAGTTGCTATTTCCCAACTTCTGTCTTCCAAGCCATCTGCACATTCTGTTCTGCACTTGGATTGCATAATCACAATGCCAGAATAGGTGATCTCTTGTTTCCTTTTCTTTTTTACACATCATACAATCTGGTTCTACATTAACCTTCCAACTAACTAACCTGTCACAGGTCATTAGCCTTTCCTGGATCATCAACCACATAATGAATTTTGCTTTTGGTCTTGCTGCATTTTGAAACACCAATGTCTTCCATTCCATTCTTCTGTAATCTCCCAGTAGGTGCAGGTATATTTGTCTGATCATGCTCTTCTTCCGACTCTATGAGAACTGCACCTCTTCAAGTATACTGTATGACTCAATTACTTTCCTTACCATCCAGCATGCTTGTTGAGGAACTTTCATTGTCTTCACTTGCTGATTCTTGACATAATAAGCATGTATCCATCTGATCCATAGCTTGTCCTACTTGTGAGTTAAATCCAAGCATGTCGTTGCAATAGCTGCCTTGTTCCACAACTTCGAATTGATTATGTTGCGTCCACCTCCTGCCCTTGGAAAACATACTTTATCCCATGCTATCAAAGCCCTTTTTGTAATCTCATTTGTCCCAGACCAAACATATGATCTACATATTCCCTCTACCACTTTAATCACCTTAGCTGGTAGGATAAATAGTTGTGCCCAGAATGCTTGTACCCCAAATAGAACACTCTGAACTAGCTGCATTCTGCCTGTATATGACAAAGTTTTAGTTGTCCAAGAAGTAATTCTTTTAGTCATTTTCTCAATCAAAGGTTGTCATTGCATTAAACTCAGCTTCTTTGTAGATAAAAGAACTCCTAGATATTTGAATGGGGGTTCTCCACTTGTAAGGCCTAAGCACTGCAATATTTGGTGTCTGTTTGTCTCTTGAACACCTCCAAAATATGCTTCACTCTTGCTTAGATTAGCTTGCAATCCAGATGCTTTAGTGAATTGTTTGAACTTCTGTTACATTGCTTGTACAGATTTCAAATCACCTTTAGCAAAAAATAAAAGATCATCTGCAAAACTTAAGTGAGTGATCCCAAGCTTTGCACACCTAGGATGGAATCTGAATTCTTTCTCCTCTTTCAAACTATCTAGGTTCCTGCTTAGATATTCCATAGCAATATCAAAAAGAAAAGGTAACATGGGATCACCTTGCCTTAGCCCTTTTGCAGCATTGAAAGGTCTTGTAGGTTCATCATTAACTACAATAGAGTAGTTAACTGTCTGTACACATTACATAACCCATCCTATGAATAATTTTGGAAATCCTAGCTCCTCCATTACTTGTTTCATAAAGCTCCACTCCACAGAATCATAGGCTTTTTGAAGGTCTAGCTTGATCATAACTCTATGAGACATATTCTTCCTAGTATATGCCTTCACTAGTTCATGAGCTAATATGATGTTGTCTGCAATCTTCCTTCTTGGTATGAATCCTGCTTGTGCTTCATTTATTAGTGTACCAATCACTTTCTGAATCCTAGCTGCCAATATCTTTGAAATCAGCTTATAAAGGACAGTGCAACATGCAATTGGTCTGAATTCTCTTACAGTTTAGGCTTAGATACCTTAGGCACTAGCATTATAGTTGTACAGTTTATTGCTCTATACAACTTCCCACACTTAAAAAACTCCATAATAGCTTCCATGACTTTATCTTTAACAATATGCCAAGCTTTCTTGAAGAAGAAAGCATTGTAACCATCTAATCCAGGTGCTTTTTCATCACCAATAGAGCATAGGCCATCATATATCTCTTCAGTAGTCACATCTCTACACAGTTCTATTCTTTGTTGCTTGCTGAGTTTGGCTCCTTTGTTGATAATCTCCTTATCTATACCAGGCAGCATATGAGTTGCACTTCCCATCAAAGACTTGTAAAAATCCACAATCTCCTTTTGGATACTATCTGCATAAGTTAATCTGCTCCCATTTATAGCTTGTAATTCAGTGATTTGTTTTCTCTGGCATCTTTCTATCATTACAGTATGGAAATATTTGGTGTTGTAATCTCCCACTTGTATCCACTTTGCCCTGGCTTTCTATCTTAAAGCCCCTTCTTCTATCATACTCCATTTCTCCAGATTCATCATCAGTTCTTTCTCTTTTAATAACATTTCTGCATTGATGTCAGAATTTATATCTCACTGAACTTTCTCAAGCTCAATTTTGCTCAATTCTATCTTCCTTTTAATAAATTTGAATTCCTCTACATTAAGTTTTTTCAATACTACTCTCAATGCCTTCAGCTTCATCCACACATTCTTCATTTGTTGATTATGTAATTTGAGGTTCCATATCTGTTAAACTTCCTGTAAAAACCTCTCATGTACAACCCACACATTAAAGAATTTAAATGGTACTCTCCTGTTTCTCTGAGCTTCATTGAAAGACAAACTTATAGGTGCATGATCTGATATGAAGGGTTGTTCATACACAATAGCTATATGGCCCCATTGTATCATCCATTCATAGTTTCCAAATACCCTATCAATCCTACTCCATATTCTATCTCCACCCTCCTGTTTATTAGACCAAATATAGTATTCCCCCTTCCCAATTTAATTCATTCAGCTTTAGCTCTTGGATGCAGTCACTAAAGTCTTGTGTTTCAGCATTAGTTACTGGATTTCCATGTTTCCTATCTTGAAATTGTAATATAGCATTGAAATCACCTTCAACTATCCAGGGGATGTTTACCATCTGATTTATCTCCTTCAAATTCTCCCATAAATGTTTTCTCTTCTCACCTGTATTAAAGCCATAAACTACAGATATTGCATATATTCCATCATTGCTAACTTTTGAGACAATACAATGAATCGCCTCAGCTTCTGCTTTTATCAACTTCACATCATAGCAGTTAGGATCCCATAGAATCCATATCCTACCATTTACTGCTGCATTATAGTTATTAATGACCTCACATCCAGGTGTTATGTGTTGACTTATTGTTTTTGCAATTTTCTCCTTTACTCTAGTTTCAATGAACCTTGCCAGTTTGATATTTTTGATTTTCAGATAATTTCTCAACTCCTTCTTCTTGTACTATTTATTAATACACCTCACATTCCATATCAACCACTTCATTTATTAGTTTCTGCATTCCCCACCTCTATCATGAGGTAAGTTATTGGCTACACTAGTACTCGGTGTCCCTCTTTTTGAACTAATTCTACTAGATTGTGGTGTCAGCATGGGAAAGTTCTCAAAGCTAAAATCTAGTGTATTCTTTCCTCTGTCCACCATCTCTTTGATATTGCTTCCCTTACCACCAGTAGTATGATGTAGTATAAATTGCACTTCTCCTTGTTGCATTCCAGTTTTTCCATCTGCAGCTTTGTATGGTACTTCAGGTGTCTTTGTTGTTTCACCCATATTTCCTTCTGCATTGTCATGTTCTTCATTTCTCATATCCTTTGTTATAGGTCCTTTTGTTCTCCATTCATATGTAACCTTCTTTGCTTCCCTTCTTCTTTGTGGCTGTATTACCCTTTGCTCCTTATTTCCTTGATGATTCTGACAAATATACCTAATAGCTTGATATTTATCACAATACACTGGTTTCCACTCATAACCTATTGCCTGTTGGAATACTTTCCCTCTAGGATCCATTACCATGATCTCAGTAGTCAGGGTTTTAGTTACATTTACCTCAATCAGCATCCTTGCATATGATATCCTTGTTTGCTTAGTTGTACACTCATCAGCAAACAAAGGCTTTCCAACCGCACTTGCAATCTTACTCAATGCTTCATTTCCCCAGCAGCTCATTGGTAACTTGGGGAAAATCACCCACAGTAGTATATCAGTTAGAAATTCCTTACTGATATCAAAATCTGGAGTCCAAGGTTTGAGAATGATTGATCTGTTTCTAATAGTATGAGGTCCAACATGGAAAATTCTGTGCATATCATCCATATTTTGAAATTTTATCACATAATAATCATCCTCGTGAAGGAACAGATCCTGTTCACCAATGTCCAGCCAGTGTTGTGCAATATATCTTCGCATAACATTATATCCTGGGTTTTCACCCACAATATAAGCAATCAGTGTTGCACTCCACTTCTCCTCTTCTTTCTTCACATCCTGCACCTCAAGCTGCACCACTGTTTGGCCATCTATAATCTGTGGAGGTACATAGTTCAAAGCCATTCCATGAGTAGCCACTCTGTTTTGTCGAAACAGATTTGTCCACTTTTTCACCTCCTGCCGTCGATCTATGGGATTTGCCTCTGTATTTCCCTTGTTCTGCTCATCCCTTGGTCCCTTAGCTTCCTCACCCTGTGTTCTCACAGCAAACAAAGGTTTTAATTTTGTTTTGAATACAATCGAATTGAATATAGTAAATTGAATACATCAAAATACACCAAAACTGTATTTATTGATACAGTCTATCCTACGCGCACGAATATAGAAAATACAGGCTCTCGGCAACATAAGTTTTGTTATGGCTAGTAAATAAGAAAACTGTAGCTGTGTCAAATAAATAAGCTCTAACTATAGTGGTTTTTCGAACTTCCTAAGATTTACAGGAATCTCTTAGTAAGATCCACGGTAAAAAAAATGCAGTAAAAACTAAATTAAAGCACAAGTAACGGTTGGACAGTTGGAAGAGGAAGAGAGAAAGATCCTCCTCGTTATTAGGATTCAGATAATATTCCATTACTCTTAATTATATTCCCCTCTCAGTAACTTCCCTCACCACTAACCCCCACCTCCATCCCCCACTACCTGGCAATTAGTTAGCATTACGTTTTACTAATTTGTCATCCGTAAAAAGATTTCTTTGTAAGGTCGTCTACTATCGTTAAACGAAAAGACACTCTCTGTTATTCTCTCTCACTTTGTTTTTGTCCTCCCAATTATATTACGTAATCTTTTCTTGTGCATATATATTTCCTCATTTAGACAAATATCGAACATGCACACGTAACTTGGATTGTAGCACGCCAACTTGTTTTTGCTATTCTTGAGCTTAATTAGCTCATTCATATAAATTGTCAATGGATAGTCGTATTTACTACTCCAACTCCTACTTGGGAACTACAGTTAATCATGATGAAGTCAACTCAGAATTAATGACTGTGGATGATCAGCTTCTTCTTGGTTTCAAAGATGAGAGTTTTCCTATTCTAGATAGGAGTACTTGTTTTCTTGAACCTCTATACAACTCCAACGACTTGTTTCTGCCTCAAGTAAAGATTTTTCAAGATAACAATTATTTCAATGGGTTTGTGCCAATGTTACCCGAGTTTGAAAGTTTGCCAGTTTATAAAAGCGAAAATGGCTTAGGGACTAAGGAGAGTAGTAAATGTAATGAGAAGAATTTGTCAGCACAAAGCATTGCGGCGAGGCAAAGGAGAAAGAAGATAACCGAAAAGACACACGAACTGGGGAAGTTGATTCCTGGAGGAAAAAAGATGAACACTGCTGTGATGTTTCAAGCTGCTTATAAGTATATTAACTTCTTGCAAGCCCAAGTTGGAATTCTTCAATTCATGGCTTCATATCAGGTAATTTTAGCTTCTTAGCTTGTATATATGCTGTATTATGTTATACTCTTTGTTTCATTTTTTAGCTTCTTGACAAGAGTGGATTGCTCTAGTGGTGAGCACCCTCCACTTCCAACCAAGAAGTTGTGAGTTCGAGTTACCCAAAGAGGAAGGTGGGGAGTTTTTGGAAGGAGGGATGCCGAGAGTCTATCGGAAACAGCCTCTCTACCCTAGGTAGAGGTAAGGTCTGCGTACACATTACGCTCAAAGGCGGATTTATGCTCATACAAGCGGTGTCATCCGACACCGCTTCGCCGGAAACTTTTACAAATTTATATGTAAATAATGGTTTTAAAAGAAACAATGCTAAAAATATATCAGTTGACACTGATGACAGACAGGCGTGTCTTGGTCCAGGGGTCACAATGGTGGTTCGGCCTCCAAATGGTCCCACGTTCGATTCTGAACAGTTGCATCAATGTTTTTTTAACTTCAAATAACACTAACCCAATTTCCCAACTATTGAGCAAAGTTTGTTCAGTTAATTTCCATCACTTTCTAGAAAAAGTTCTTAATAATAATACCGAAATTATTCGCTTTTATCTTTTTTCCTTCTCTTGATTTGCTTTTATTTTTTAAATAAATTTGTTAATGTATTTGAATGTGTTTTATTCAGATGGACTTATTTTAGTAATTTGTTCATATGTTAACTTCTTAAAGTATCGACACCGCTTACCCAATATTCTGTATTTGTTGTTCTTTCTTCTTTTTTTTTGAGAAGCGAATAAAAGTACTTATGAAACTATGCATTAATACTTATATAAAACAGTCTGTTATGATCCGTACGTCATTATTACAACGTTTTATACTATAGAATTCAAGCTATTGGATAAATTTGGAGACTTTTATGAAGAAGGCAGCGGAAAAGAAAGCGAGGGCTTGTGTTAATTTATGTTTTGTTAATTACTTTAAATGGAGTTCATTGTTTTAGTCCTACTCTAGGTTTGTGGAAAACACAGTAACTCTTTATTCATTCATGTTAATTTTGCACTTATGGACATATATATGTCGAATTTCTAATCAGAACTTGACCTCGTTTTTTATCACTCTTGACGTTATGACCACTTTCAACTAATTTCTCTGGAGTTAAGAAAGTTTTGAGGAGGGACATAGCTGGTACTGATGAGGCACGAAGTAGCCCGAGTTCACATAAAGTTCGGAGAATGACTGCACCCCAAGGGGGAGTTCATTACTCAAATGGTCATTCAACTATCCCAAATTATTTCCTAAAGTCACTTTACTTTCGTTTGTAACAACAAAATCACTGAATTATGTCAATTGCACTCAGAAGGTCACTCAACTAGATTTTTCAAATTTTGGATTGTCAAATACCTATTTTACCCTCTAAATTATAACTATTTATCTTATTTTTATTTTTTAAAACTTTTTAATATTATGATTTTTCCCTTTTAATTTATATTATTGACTTACCCACAAAATAAATAAATATTATTTATAAATTAAAAAATAGAAAGTATTTAAGCATATATAATGCTGGAATAACAAAATAATAAGCATAGTAAAAAAATTAATTAGAATAATTTGTTAGTAATAATAATGTTAGTATTAACAACAAAAATTCAAAATTTGTTTACACACTTCAGAATGAAAGAAAATAAAGGTTGTAAAATATATATATTCTATGCACGTAATATAAAAATAATTATTTAAATAAAGGTATTTTTATAATATACATTATATATTCTTGAAAATTATGCTCAATTATATTATTATGTTTCTACCATTCCGATGACACAAAGCTATATCACTGGAAAGCAGGGGGACTATCTGTGTAGCGTAAAATATACTATGTTAAGTCGTGCATGGAATATATATAATATAATTGAGCATAATTTTCAAGAATATATAATGTATATTATAAAAATATTTTTATTTAAATAATTATTTTTATATTACGTGCATGGAATATATATTACAACCTTTATTTTCTTTAATTTTGAATTGTGTAAATACATTTTTGAATTTTTATTGTTAATACTAAAATTACTATTACAAATAAATTATTCTAATTAATTCTTTTACTATGCTCATTATTTTGTTATTCCAGCATTATAGATGCTTAAATACTTTTTATTTTCTTAATTTATAAATAATATTTATTTATTCTATAGGTAAGTCCATAATATAAATTAAAAAGGAAAAATCATAATATTAAAAAGTTTTTAAAAAAATTAAAGAAGATAAATATTTATAATTTAGAGGGTAAAATAGGTATTTGTCAATCCAAAATTTGAAAAATCTAGTTGAGTGACCTTCTGAGTGCAATAAGCATAATTCAGTGACTTTGTTGTTACAAACGAAAGAAAAGTGACTTTAGGAGATAATTTGAGATAGTTGAGTGACCATTTGAGTAATTGACTCCCCCAAGGGACGCGAACAACTTACCCTGATGCAAGCATCAGTCGCTGATTCCACACAGCTCAAACCCGCGAGACTTATTACACGAAAATAACTTTACCGCTGCTCCAAGCCCCCCTTCTAACTAGTCTATAGAGAGAGAGAGACTTCTTTTTCTTTTTAATCTTCTTTCTTTTGTGCATTCAAATAATTAGTGACGGAATCATGGTAAAAATATAGTAACATAGTAATTAAAGTTGGAATGATTTCAGGAAGAAAGAGAGCTATTTCAAACTCCACAAATTTGTTGGATCTCCATTAATTCAGGAGAAGTTGTATTCCAGTGACAAGTGTTTAGTTCCTGAAATGTTCATTAAAGCTCTAGCCAATGATCATGAGTTCCAGCATTCAAATCCTCGGGTTTTGAAGGAAGTTAACCAGCTGATTAAGCCAAGCAGCTAATAGTAGGAGAATCTAACAGTAGTTCAGTTTATTTTGTTAATTTGCCTGTTGTTGTTATTTGCTTTTTCATTTTTTGTTGGAATTATTGCTTATTTAATTCTGCTCTATTTTTGTTCTAGTATTTAGATTTTAGGCTCCATGTACCTTCATTTAGCTTTTTCTTTGTAAATTCTTCTTTTACAAAATGAATTGCAGTTCTTCCTTTGATGGTAAATTAGAAGTTAGTTATAGCTGCCTTCCTGTGAATCTATTTCATGAAGTTAACCTTTAATTTTTTTTTTTAACTTGTATAAATCACTTATGAACTATATATATACTCTATTTCGAAATTTAATTGTTACAAGGAAAAAAGTACACCCTAATTTTTCTTTCCGAGAAGTTTAGTTTCCTCCATATATCTCTCCTTCAAAATTTTAAAGGGATTTGCTAAAAGGAAAAAGTTCAATGTTTGAAAAAGTTTAAAGATTTGTGAATGAAAATCATTATTCATTTAAAACCACTCCTTAAACCTCTATTTCAATATTTCACAAGTGTATAGGGTAAAATTAGTTTATATTAAATGCTCAAATGGTGGTGTGACATGTGGAACCGAAGACAAGTAGAAAGTAAATCGAATAATAACCAGTACCGGGAATAACAACTGTAATTAGCATCGGATAGACCCCCAGGGAGCATGATCAATGTGAGCAGATCGAATGTTTGCCATCGGATATCATTCAATCCTGGCATTAAATGGGCAGTCGTTGCAGAAAGTATTTGCATTCATGGCCTGCTGTTACATATTCATCAATGACCCCTTTATTGTCATTTAAGGCCTCATTTGTTTGTTTTTTAAGATTAAGACGTCTGAATCTGAATACACATCTGAATATCAAGACGTGTATTAAGATTAAGCCACTTGAATATGAATACACATCTGAATATTAAGATGTGTATTAAGATCTGAATACTAAATGATTAAGACGGTTTGATTTTTAACATATGAATATATAAAATTTATGTTTATTTGAAAATTAATAAACATAAGATTCAAATGAAATACTAATTAATCAAATATTCTCTCATTAAAATATATAGTTTTTAAAAATATGATAGATGTTGGTGGTGATGGCTAACAGGTGAATGCCGACTAGAGGCAGTAATTGGTGGTAGTTTTGGTTGATGGCGGTGGTTCAAGGTAGTAGCTAGTGTGATTGGTAGTGGTGGCGATTATGACTGAGGATGGTGGTAGTTGGTGGTGATAGTTAATAATGGCGGGTGGTGGTGGTAATTGTGATTGAGGAAGGTGGTGGTGAGTGGTGGTAGGTTATAATGATAGGCAGTGCCATCTGTGGTTGTTGATGGTGATGGGGTGGTTAGTTGTGGCAGTTGAGGTGGATGAGTGTTGATTGTGGTTGAGAATGATGGTGGTGGAGATGGTGGGTGGTGATAGTCGATAATGGCGGTGGCTATGATTGAGGATGATGGTGGTCTGGTGGTGGCAGTAGCCGTGGTGGGCGTGTTGGTAGTTGATAGTGGTAGGCAGTTGCGGTAGTTAATAATGAATATGGATGATAGCATCTTAATGAAATTAAGTTTTTGTTATAGATCTTAATCATACAGACCTATTCAGACCCATTAAGTGGTTGTGAAGTAAAAAAGCAAACACACTTAATGATTAAGATCTGAATAATTAAAATTCAGACTTTAAAAACAAACGCACTTAATGCCTGAAACCTGAATGATTAAGATTCAGACCTCCATTAAGTGCAAACAAATGAAGCCTATGAGGGGCTTGATCCTAGGATCTTGTTTCCCTGGGTATAGCTATAAATAGTAGGCTTAACAACCATTGTAACACGCGAAATTCTTGAAAAAACTTATGCTATATTTTATTCTCAAGCTCAATAAAATAACTTTATTTGCTCTTTTATATTGTTCTTATTTCTGTCCTCGGAGGCATTGCTCTCGGAGCCAAGCTTGTCATTTCCTTCGATTTTAATCGTTAAGTCTTATTTATCATTTTTCGATCAAATCAGTTCGCTTATCTATAAACTACGTAGCAAATTTAACTGTACTATTTTACAGGTAAACAGCACATACTTTAAATACTGGAATTCAATATTTACAAATAATAATAGCTATCTCAATATTTACAAATATTGAAGTTCGGCATACGAAACATTGAAAAAATATTTGATATCCAAACATCCCACATTGGTTGTATGTTTGTTTTCTAAAGGTGTAACTTAGAACTCCTTCCCATGTCTAACGAATAGTTTAAAGAAAAAGAAAGAATAAAAATTTAAAGAAGTAAGGTGCCTTACAAGAGTTAATCTATGTACAATATTGCATAATATAACATATTGTTGGATTGATGTTTCAACGAGAGTTAATTTTGGCGTAAAATCCAGTATATCATATACAATGACGAAACCAAAAAATTTAATAAGAGTGTTAAAATTCAGTGGGTTATGCAAGGGTGTTCAAAGTCTATTTTTAATCAATAACAAGTAATATTTTACCTTATACATAGTATAGTTTTTCGGTGAAGGGTGGTCAGTTGACCACCCTTGTGCCAACATAGCTTCGCCCCTGATCATATACCATGTTTGGTTAATTAATTGTTTTCCTTTTTTCTTCATACATAATACTCACATAAAAATTTATATATTATTTTATACGGAATACAATGTTGAATAAGAATCTGAATACTTAATAATAATAATAATATAAAACATGGACTAAAACATTAAAATGATAAAACTAACCCTCAAAATATTGAACAAACTTTTATATTTCAAATAAATAAAAAATATATTAAATTAAACATCCAACAAGAAATAATCACATATTATAATCCCTGCAAAATAATCTTGCATTACTAATTCCTCAATAATTTAATTTGGCAGAATGGTCTAAATGACACCTATACTTGTACCACTTTGTCATGACAGTCCTCCTACTTCACTTTTTTTCAACCAGACACTTTAACTTGTTCAAAATCTATATTTTAAACTCTTCTGACCGTGTGCGTATCTCACTTGCTTGACGTGGATGACACATCATATTCCACGTCATTTTTTATATTGTATCTACTAAAAATACTTATTATATACTATTTTCATAAAGAAAAAAGAAAAAGAAAATTAATGCATCCATCTCATCTCCCTTCTCTCAAATTAGGGTTGCCTTGTGCTTAGCAAATGCACATATTTTTTCTTCCTTATCCGTCTCATATCCCTTCTTCCTCAAAGGTTTTTATCCGTTTATTAGCTGATGAAGCAATTTATATTGATTTTTGGCTACTGAGCCAATGATTTAATTGGAGAAGTTGCAACTTACCTGAGATAACTAAATGATTGTGTATGATATAGTTGATGATTGTTGGCCAAAAATATCTGGGCGGGAAAAAACTGCAGCACATCCTATCCAAAGCACAAGAACTTCTGTTGAGGTGCAGAGGGGAAAGAGAGAAAATGAGGAGTGAGGTCGTTTTAGATGGCTAGTTTTGCAATTCCGTCAATTATATCACTTTCTGCCATGAAGAATCAGTATTTGTTTTCACGGCGTTAAATTGAGACGTCTCAGTGGCTTTGCTTTTGTTTATAAATAAGTGGGGGGGG